GGCCAACCTGAGCCTGGGGCAGCGGCGGCGGAAGCTGAAGGATTTCCGGGACGCCTACCCCCGCTTCCCACCCATCCAGTCCATCCATGTCTCCCAGGACGAGCGCGAGTGCATGATCGACCTCAGCGAGTTCATGAACCCCTCGCCCTACACCGTGCCTCAGGTACTGGCCAGGGACCCCGGGGGAGGTGGGTGGGTGGGTGAGGGGTGCAGGCTGGGGGTGCTGAGCCCACCTGGCCCCGCGCTGCCCTGCAGGAGGCGTCTCTGCCGCGGGTGTTCAAGCTGTTCCGGGCCCTGGGGCTGCGGCACTTGGTGGTCGTGGACAATCGCAACGAGGTGAGTCCCTGCAGCCTGGGCTCCTCGGTGAGGGGCACACGCTGGGCACTGTCCCAGCCCGGGGCTGTACCCTGTCCCCTTCCCTGCAGGTGGTGGGCATGGTCACCCGCAAGGACCTCGCCAGGTACCGGCTGGGGAAGGAAGGTCTGGAGGAGCTGTCGCTGGCACAGACGTGACGTGGGGTGGCTCTGCCCAGCAGAGATGTGCCCCAGCCCCTCGGAGCTGGGGACCCCCTTTTGTGGGAGGTGGGGAAGGACTGGGCCAGACTGGGCAGGCATCATGGTGCCTGGAGCACCATCACAGCTCTCCTGCCCCAGTTTTTCTGCCCATTGCTGCCTTCCCACATCTACTGCCTCCTCTTCTCCCCCTTCCTCTGCTTCCCCAAGGGATCAAAACACACCCTTGGATCCATTAGCTCCTGGTGTAGGCTCCCCTTGAGGGTGGGGTGAAGGCTGGTTTGTGCCTCACTGGGCTGAGCTGGACACAGTCCCTCTGCCATGGCACGTGGCCTCGTCACCTCATCCACCCAACTTAGGCTGTCCAGGACCTAGCCCTGCCCTGACCCCTGCTGCAGGACCTGTTTGGGGAGTGGAGGGGACGTGGTGAGACTCCTTTCTGCTCCCAGAGCCTCGTCCCACCTGCCCTGTGCTGCTCCTGACTGGGTCAGGCTGAACCCTGGGGCAGGTACTTGCTTCTTTGCACCTCTGGCTGGAGAAGGGGGCTGTGCCCTGCTCAGCTGTGC